ACATCTCAATCCAATTCTTGACTCTAGGCTTCAAAATTAACATGGACCATGCAAGACACAACTTAAATTCATAAACCAAAGGATGAATTCCTTACCTAGGTTCCTCAATTCCAAGTTTAGAAGCCCAATTATGCAATGAATTCTTCAAATCTTCTAAGTTCCAAGCAAAATTCTAGATAACTCAATCTTGCTTCCAACTCTCAAGTTCTCTCTCACGTTTTGGTCTCTTAGAGGAAATGAAGAGTGATGCCAACACATGTAATTGAAGACAAAACAATTGGTCTAGCAAGCCCACTTAATGGCATTATGGTAAATAACCCAAACTAATGTAATTTAACATTATTTAATCTAATTTAATCATATCAATTCAAATTTCAATTAAACATACCATAAAATCCCATAAATTCTAATTAACATGAAACACTAATCAATTTCGAAATCGGGCGCCGATAAGGCTTTCAATTCGCAAGTCAAAGTCAGAACATGAACAGATCGTTTTATGGCAAACAAATAAAAACACAAAGATAATGCAATGCATGTGCAAATTAATCCCAGATTCCTTCTAAATTACTGTTAGGCATAATTAATCATGCTTTAGCATTAATTGGAGGTCGTGGTTATTACAGAGGCGGGGATGTTCCAAAGATTAAGAGAGAATTTAATGCAAATGATGAATGATGGTTGCATTTCTGGAAGGATGCAAAGCCTATGCACGTTCTAAGACGTGGATAAAAGACCTTGATCCACTAATATCACCAAGTATTGGGTATATTAGTGCGGGGGGTAATATTGGCTACATTTTTTGTATAAGCCAATTACAATTCAACACGTGGCAAAATAAGGGCAATACGGGAAGACCATTCAAGTCTTCGATCGTGATCGTACACGTGGCAGTTAGCATTGGTTCTTATGAGATCTGCATAGCATTGGATCAACAAAGAGATGCAAAGTGATGTGGCTCCAACGGTTACTCACATTCAAATTCAAAATTAGGAGGGAAGTCTAACTGCAAGTGATGGCATAGTGGAGCTAACTATAAGGCAACATGATCAGCGATCATGAAGGAGCGATTCGACGGTTAGAAGTGCAGTTCGATGGTCATTCTTAAGAAGTATAAATAGCAGAGAAGGCTCCAGAAAACCCCCCAGACTAGATCCAAAAAACCAGTTTTATTCTACTTTATTTCCTTTCCAGTTTTACATTTTCTGTTCTTTACATTTATGTACTTTAAAATTCCTACACTGCACTTCGTTCATAGGAGTAGTTTCAAGTAGATTGTTACTGTAAACCTCTACGAGGCTGAATTGAATTATTGTAATTTTTTTCATTTTAATGAAATGCTTTAATTGTTCTTCATTTGATTGTTATTTGCTTAATTCTCCTAAATCCAGCCACCAGTAAAAGTCCTCTTCATTGAGGCTGAAAGAACTAAAACACAATCGTCTGATAATTGGTTGGCAATTAATTTTCGGTAAGGACTGATTGATCCTTGCTGGCACGCTCGTAATTACAATAATAACCTTCGAAAGCCAAAAAGCCAACAAAACGATAATTACAAAACTAAACCAAACAGTACCCTCACTTCTCCTCCATATTTTCTTTCTTCTGCTTCGTTCACTTGTTTCAACTCCCTCTTCCTCATTAATTATTATGAAACTTTTAAGTTTAGTTTGAAAGTGTTTAGGGTGAGAGTTGACATTTTTATTTGAGAAAAAAATAATAGATTTTATTAAACCTTACATATCTATTATCTTAGAATTTTGATCAGTTATCATTGGAGATTTATGGAGCAATATCAAATGATTTAAGTATTGGTGATGGATGAATTGTTTTGAGATAATTTGGATGGTATAAAATATACTTTCTCTAAATGTCTTTGTAAACAATTTTATTTTAATTATTTCTCATTTGTATTCCTCTTGATTAGTCTGGACATTTGATAAATTTTGTGAAATTATTCTGTGTTGAAAGTGTTGATTTGTCTGACTGAATGACATGAAAATGCTCCATATATGGATCGCGTGGACCCTACCAATAAACTTGCACTAATACACCTAGATAAGCGATTGTGCTTGGATAAGGTGGGTAAGGCCAATCATGTATTGAATAGGGCTGGATGTTTGGTCTTGAATAAATTATCATATGTGAGTTTATTTGTTTGTGTAATTTGGTAAATTCTTTGGTAATATTGAATCGTTTGTACAATGTTGTAGAATTCGTTTTTATTTATTCTCTATCTAGACATTATTATTCTTATCGTATTGTATACTTTCCGAATTAATTCATTTTTCATGTGGAGAGCAATTTAGTAGGGATTGAAATATTAAAGGATTTATTTGAGTTAGAAATTTTGGGACCCATCACTATATATTAATTTTAGAGACAATTGTATAAATTATATTTTGGAGACATTTGTGTAATTATTTTTGGAGATGATTGATACATTTGAGGTTATTAATTTATCTGAAATTATAAATTTGAGGAGTATTTAATTTATTAATGGTCCGAAAATTAGGGTTTTACAATTGGTCCATTATTACATTTTTTTGTTATCCCCAAATGTATGCCCACTTTGATTTTGTTTGGAAAGTGAGTTGGCTTTTTGATTTTTTTTGGCTATTTTAGCCTGGGGCTAAAAAATCTGGTTTGGGAAGGGCTTTTGGTTTTTTTTTTTTGCTTTTTTGATTTTTTTATGAGAGAAAGAATGTAATGATTATAGATTGGATGTACTGTTTTGTCTTATTGGGCTAAAAAGCCTATTTTATTTTTTGTGACTATTTTAGCCAAAAAAAACTCCAAAACCCACTTCCCAAACATAGGCTTTGTAATGTCAAAATTTTATAATGTCAAAATTTTAAATTTTAAATTTTTTAAAATTTTCCCTTATAATATATATATATATATATATATTTTTTAAAAAATGAAAATAGAATGGTACTTTTGTAATTATTTAAATTTGAATTCAAAATGTAAAGATTGCGTTTTCTTAAAAAGTTTGAATTTTCAAAGAGGGATTATGAATATTGGCCGGAGAGAGAAAATTTCGATTTTGTCCATAATTTTGATGACTAAAAATACCATTAATCCATTAAAGCACTATAAGTGTCTCTTACATTTCAGGTAGCCCTAATCTATTAAAACACTGATAAGTGTCTCTTATATTTAAAGTAGCCCCTCTTACAAAGTTATCAAAATTAAGAACAAAATCAAAATTTTATCATTAGAAGAGTACAAATTTGAAGAAAAAAATTTCACCATATACACAAAACATGTGTACATATACGATAAGATATGTAAGTTATATATATACACACAAAAAAATAATAACAACAAATATTAGGATTACTTACAAAAAAAAAAAAATTAGTTTCACAAAAAAATAATAACAACAAATATTAGGATTACTTACAAAAAAAAAAAAATTAGTTTCACGTGATTTTCTTTAAATCCCAAAAGATTCTGCATTACCTTACATAAACGGAGATAGACGGAGGGGGCACATTCAAATATGGATGAAACTCCAAATTTTAATATGTCAAAATTGAAATACTTCTTCTACTAAGTTTTAAAGTAAAAAACGCATGCAACCTTAAGGTTTTTTTTTTTTTTTTTTTGTAATTAACCAAAAAAAAATCATATACAAATATTTTTTCTTAAAAAAAAAATATATATATATATATAATCAATACTCTTTCATGAAATCACTTCTTTCAAATAAATCTTATTTTTTAAGAGAATTAAATAAATCTCACAGGCTCAATTTTAAAAATTATGAGAAAGATCAAAGAGAATGACATATAATTTTGTTCTTGAGACTCGGCCTGGCCCAAACTAGTTGGGCTTTTACCCAACCAAGGCCCAAATATCTGAATATAATTTTTTGTCATTGAGATCGGGTCTGGCCCAAACTTGTTGCGTGTTTACCCAAACAAGGCCCAAAGTTATGAACAGGCCAGTCCAAGCGATATTGGGTTGGAATTGGGCTTTGAATTTAAAACTCAATCCGGCCCAAACTCGTTGCCCTTTTACCTAAACTAAGCCCAAATCCTGAACATGTTGACTGAAGTGAGATTGGGCCTAGAATAGGGTCTTGAAATTAAAACCCAACCCAGCCCAAAGCTCATTGGCTTTTACCTAACAAAGTCCAAAGCCTGGACTGGCTAGCCCAAGTGAGACTGGGCCTTGAATCTGAAACCCAACCTGGCCCAAGCTTATTGAGAATTTACTCAAACAAAGGCCGAATCCTGAACAGGCCAGTCCAAGTTAGACAGAGCCTAGAATTAAGCCTTCAACTTGAAACCCAACCTAGCCCAGGCTCATTGGGCTTTTACCCAAATAAAGTCCAAATCCTGGATATGCCAACACAAGTGAGATTGGGCCTTGAATTTGAAATCTATCTCAATCCAGCCTTGTTTTTTTTTTTTTTTTTTTTTTGTGTTGTTACATTTTTTTGGGATAATCAAAATATGTGTTTTTACGTAAAAAAAAAATTACATAAATTAAGAATTATAGTTTAATATTTATATGAATACTTACCTCATCTTTAATGAATTATTTTAAAAAATACTTTTGATTATTATTCTAATCCATCACTTGATTTTGTTCAAGCTTTTTTCTATTTGCAAATAACAATACATTAATAAACAAAGATGTTGATGATAATGGTGGATTGAAGTTTTGGAATGACAAAAAAATAATAAAAAATAATTAAAACTTAGGAAAGAAGATGAACAAACTTGAATATAAATGATTGGGGGTGTACATTAAAAAAATATATATATTTTATTTTATTGTTTAATGTATATTTTCTTTAATAATACATTTATATTAAGGTATCATAATAAGAAAATTTTAATTAGACGAATTAAGATAGTATTTGGGTGCAAATATAATCACCCAAATAAGACAAAATAAAAGAAAAAGTGAACCCGGCCCAAAGAGTTTGATGGGGGCTTAAAAGCCCATTTCAACAATAAAACAGACAAATAAGAAAAGCGGAATTAGGTTTTCAATTCAAGTATCTCCTGGAGATTGAAGTGAAAACCAGAGTACCAGAGAGAGAGAAAGAAACGACGAGTTGTTGTTGATTCAGTAGAGAGAGAGAGAGAGAGAGAGAGAGATCGAAGAAGAACGACCTAGCTCGCAGAAAAAGACAGCACGAATTCGAACTCCAAAGCACTTTTTCTCTATCTCTATATATATGTATGTATATATGTGTGTGTTTATATGATTTGAATTGGGTTTTTGGTAAATTGGCCCCCTAAATGTTTTTGTTGTGGGTATGTGATTGAGTTTGTTCTGATTTGTATTTGAAAAAATCAGGAGAGAAATTAGAGAAAGAAAACAAGGCAAAGAAGCTGCAGGCCAAGAAGAATCAGATGAAAGTAACTCCCTTTCTTCTTCCTCCAAGCCCACTCTCTGTATAGTGTTGGAATGTGTTGAAGAGCTTTGTGTTTGGGCAATTATGTGTTTAGGTGGATGGTAGTGACACGAAGAAAAAGAAGAAGTGTGCAAGTGGATTCCAAGTTGGGAAGAGAAAAGTGAAGACCAAGTTGACAGCATTGGCAAAAGCAAAGGCTGCCCAAGCGATGGAGCTTGACAAACGAGGTTCTACTTTGAGTCACTGAGGCATTAGCTAACTTCAGGATATGTAACTTTGAAGGAAAAGGTTCATCTTTACCTCTGTGCTCTTTGACAATTTCTTCTCTAGTCACTGGTTCCTATGAAATTAATATTCTCCATTATACTGTTTTTCATTAATAATGTGAATATGTGATTGTTTTTATAATTTTGCTTACTGTTTATGCAGTCAATTTTGTGGCTGGACAGTGTGTGTCTTTTCCCTTAACAACGAAGTTGAAAATTGTGAGTGTTGAGTGTGAAGAAGCCTTGTTTTTCTCTAGTGATACATGCTACAAAAAATTGGGTGCTGGTGATTTAAATCCCATCTCTGACCAAAAAATAAAAAAAATAATAAAGACAATACTGGGTAGCAGAACTGTGAGTGACATCTTTATTTGTTTTTGATAAGTGAGAGTGGCATCTTGTGTGTTACATGGACTCTTCTATTTCTCCCGACAAGACTGGGTAGCAGAACTATATGTTTTTGATAAGTGTTAATTTAAATTTAAAGTGATATATATTTTAAAATATCAAATTAGTTTCAGATTTTTGTTATTTTTGATTGTTTATGGATTTAATTCTAATCTACATAACCATAAAAATGTATGAAAAAATATTTTATTGTCGCCCCCATGTGTCTGTGGTCCCATTTTTTTCAAATCACCATGTCCGTGCTTGCTAGGTTGCATTAATTAATCTCAATTGATGTTACAACTACCTGTTAGACCTGGGTGGAACAAAGGAAGAATATTGATCTCCACAGTTTTCAAAAGAAACCTGAATGAAAAACAAGAGTGATATGCAACATGTTGACACCTTCAATGCTTGAAATTTGGTTTTGTTAAAGATGACGTTTTCGTTTATGCATTTTTGTTAATTTGTGTGAATAAGGAAATGTTCCATCATTTTTATGAATCCTCACATAGTTGTGCCTTCACCAATTTTGTCTATGATGTGTAATGTAAGATAAATGGTCACATATTATTTGAGGATGAGTGGCGCTACCAATTGCATTTCAGGATCTTAATCCTTTTTATTTTTTTTATTTTTAAATGAAGGCAGATTTCTTGTTGGTGTTAACTTGGCATGGATGTGGGTTTGTTTGAAATGAATCCCATTCCCATTTTGCTAATTTCCTGTGTTTGGTGCCAATTTTTGGTAATCAGAATCCAAGATTGAGATACCCTCATATGGCTGGAATCTCTTTGCCATGGAAAGGGGGGAGCGTTCTCGTTCTCATTCTATGTAAGGATTTATTTATTTATTCTGTAAATCTAATTTATGATGGTTATATTATTAGTAAACTAAATATGAAAATGATCTTGAAGTTTCATTTTCGATATACATTAATGGTGTATCCAAATAGTAAATTGGGAATATTTGATTCCCCAACATTCCTAGGCATCTCATACAAAGGTATGAAATGTTGATTCCTGATATTACTAATGCAATTTGGACCTTTTTTCATTTATTTTTCCTTCTAATATTACTGTTGTTTTGATTTTAGATTTTGCTTTGATCAAGCTTAGATAAATTAGTTTTGCTACTAATGCAATTTGGACTCGAACAAAGTAATAATGAAATGTTTTTACTGTGTTTTGAAGTTGCCAATCTATACTTGTTTGCCAAAAAACACTGGAAAAGAGATAGCTCTCTTACCATCAAAGCTGATGCTAAAAGATTTTGAATACGTTATTACAAGAAAACCTAAAAACCAGTTCCATACACTATCAAAAGAAAAAGGGCAGCCCCAAGTTAGGCAGTCACCATTGTTGTCTTTTGAAGGAAAAGAAAATAAGAAAAGGCACCAGATGAGTGAATGCTTCCTAGAAACTAATTATAGACCAGAAGCAACTGGGAAAAGACACCAAATGGTCAAAGTGCAAATTGGAAACCATATAATGAGAGCATAAAGCTGTGTTCAGATCTTAATTTGTGGAGGAAAAGAGTACAGTTGTGTTTTGATTTTTTTCGTTTTGATTTTTTGTGTTTTTAAAAATAAATCAATGAAAAGTTTGAAAACACCTATCGTTTTCATTTTTGTGCAAAAAATGCTTTTGAACATACATAACAAACTTTTTAGTATTTCCTAAAAAAATTCAGAAGCTATTTTCGAAAAGAGTTCATCAGACAGGTTTTCAATGTTTTTCGGGGGAAAAAAAAAAGAGAAGAAACCCTAAATCCAATATCCAAAACCACCCTACTTCATTCATCTTTTCCTTTTCTTTTTCATTTCCTTTCCACAAATCCAAGATCCAAACATGGCAAATCTCATCCTTGGGGGAAGGTTTCGGTACACAAATCCAATCAACTCTCAAAATAAGTTTCAAGGTCTACGCGAAGTATCCTCTATATAACTAACATTCAGAAATGGCACTGCAAATCTACATTTGGACCCTCTCAAAACCAAGAAGATGGAGAGAAAAAAAACCAGTAAATTTCACACTTTATTGACAATTTCTGGGAAATCAAATAAAGCATTACATCGAAATTGTAAATACACGAAGTACCAAATAAATCATTATAACTTCCAAAACAAATGAATGTAACTATCTCAAGGACGTGAAAATCGGTCACAGTTTCTGTACACAAACTACAACTGTGAACAAGAAATGAAGGACAATAATTTCTTTATGATTGTTGAATAGAATCAAGCTCCGGTCAGAGCAGAAACCTTTCAATGCGTGCCAAATAATGATCTTCACAAAGGAAGTGAGACAAAGCGAGCAAAGCAGAAGATTTACATATCTGTACATCATTTCGTTACTGTCAAACACTTTTGCTCCTTCTGGCTTCAAGAGCTGAACCATCCTTAAGGGCTATATGTGCTTCATTTTCCATTTTAAGGGTGAAAAGTGCAGAGGCTTGTAGATAAGACAGTACGTGCCAGGATGGAGATATGATTTGGGCTTGCATTGCATCCTTTAAAGCTTCCTGTGGCGAGTCGCTCATGAGATAAGACAAACTGCGGCGAGCAAAAACTGTTGGTGACCCTACTATTCCTGCTTCAATAAACTGCAAGTAGGAAAATAAAACCATTATTAGGATTCCAGCATTCACTCAGATTTTCAAGAATGTAACCATTAGATTATCACAGTTTTCCCATAAACTGCCGCTATCTCTGAATTACCTGAGACATGGATTGTTTCGGTGCATGGAACATGATCACGAATGTGGTATGTCACATTTTCTAAAACGTACGAATGTGGTATGTCACATTTCCCATAAACTACAATGTTGAAAGATGGCAGTGAGCAAAAGCACAATGCATAGGCTGTAATTTTATCTGGGTCAAAAAGAACGATAAAATTGTCTCTGGTATGACAAAGCATAACATGCTCTCAAGCGGTTGACATCCTCCATGGCAACAAAAGAAAAAGAAAAAGGTGGGAGGGCTTTAGATATCAGCCAATTAGTATCAGGATTTTAGAGTTCCGATACCGATATTCACTTATATATCAGTCGATATTGACCGATATATCATGCTCAGGCAACGGAAAATTGAAGCTGAAGCTTACAAAGCAATTATATTGCACTATGTATAAGCCCTAAACATTCTAATGAGACAATTATGTGAGATTAAGATGTTGACTTCAGAATACATGACGAGAAAAATCTAATCTTTAACATTTTTTAAACATATACAATACCTCATTGGTGACACCTTCGTCATCTTTATTCTCCAAGATCTCATGTATGGCAGTCAAGTCCATTCTTAAGCATGCTTCACCAAGTGGGGATTTAGGTGAGAAGGAAGCACTGGGTGAGATGCCCATTAAGACATGAGGAGGAACCTGTACAGCAAGAAACCAAAGATTCATAACAAACCTAAATCCGCTTAACAAGATGAAATTGGCACATTCAAAATTTCAAATAACTAATTCTGACTATAAGAAGTTAAAAATGTAAAAGTATCATACCAAAAAAAATAAATAAATAATTAGGAAACAGTCCAGACTTTCCAATTTTTTTTTGATCAACAACAAAAGTCCAGACTTTCCAATTTCTGAGTTGCTTTGGGATGATAAGCCTTTATTCTTAAGAAAATTAAGCAAAAAACAAAAATGTAATTGACCTTGGTATTTTCCTGAAGAGTAGTCAAAATAGCCACTAATGACTTTGGATTTGGCCTTTCTTGGGGTTCATATTGCAAGCATCGAGAAGCCAAGCGTACTAACTCAGTCCTGGCATCATCGGAAAATTTTCCTTCCAAGAAAGAATCTGTCAGCATCTCAAGGTTCCTGTCCCGTATCAAATCAAGGGCCTGGTAGAATTACCACAGCAAAGGAAAAGAAAATAAGAAAAGGCACCAGATGAGTGAATGCTTCCTAGAAACTAATTATAGACCAGAAGCAAATGGGAAAAGACACCAAATGGTCAAAGTGCAAATTGGAAAGCATATAATGAAAGCATAAAGCTGTGTTCAGATCTTAATTTGTGGAGGGAAAAGAGTATAGTTGTGTTTTTATTTTTATTTTTTTTAGGTCTCCGACGGTATTTCCAGGTTTTTTGGACCCAGGACTAATTCGCTGAGGAAGCTGCCGAGCGCATATGCGGGGTCCTCTCCCAAGGGGGTTTGCTGCATCCACAAAGGCTTGAACTCGAGACCTTTGCTTAAGCGACCCAAGTCCCTTTCCACTTGGACCAACCCTCATTGGTGTGTTTTGATTTTTTTCGTTTTGATTTTTTGTGTTTTTAAAAATAAATCAATGAAAAGTTTGAAAACACCTATCGTTTTCATTTTTGTGCAAAAAATGCTTTCGAACATACATAACAAACTTTTTAGTATTTCCTAAAAAAATTCAGAAGCTATTTTCAAAAACAGTTCATCAAACAAGTTTTCTATGTTTTTCGTAAAATGAAGACAAAAATCAGAGAACAAAAAGGATGCCAAGAAGGGCCCTTTCTCTGATGTTGAGAAGATGTTAGGAACCAGGATTCATTTGAGCATTATTGCCCTTGCTTACAGGCAACTACCACCATGCCCACTTGCTCCACGGTAGGTTCAGACGGAACCACTTGACTTCTTTATTGCCCTAACCCCTGACTCTGACCCACTTGAACATGAGGCCATATAAACTATCTGAACTCAAAATCATCACTCTGTGCTCATTTGAAAAGCTGGTAAAAAGTCAACTTCTAACTTTTTATCAATTTTAGGTCACATCACTTTTTACATAACTTACTTATAAAAAGATAAAATAAACTAAAAAAATAAAAAGCCAACTTTTAAAAAAAAAAGGTGCTGTAATCAAATTTTTTAATCCACAGCAATTGGCCGCAAATTGTTGAGAAAGTAGTCAAACATTTCAAAGATAATTATTTTTTTATTTTCTTCAAGTCTACATGCAAAATTTAAATTAAAAAAATACTGAAGTTTCGTTTGTTTCGATATAAAATATATAAAAAGATAATTTTTTTATAAATTAATTTTACACAGGAAAAACGTTTTTGTTTTTGTTTTTGTTTTTCGACGTTTGATTGATAGTTGAAACAAAATATTTTATTACCTAAAAGAAAAATTTTGATTCAATAAAATGTCATTTATAATTTTTTAACGAGTTAAGATATTTATTTGAAATGCTAAATATATTGAAAACATAGTCAGTGAGAGTTGACTTTGTAAAAATTGACTTTCGTAATTTTTAAAGATAAATTATTTTTGAGAAATTGATATAAAAATATTTTCTTTAAAAAATATTTTACTTTATAATATTTTAACAAATATAATTTACGTCAAAACATATATATATATATATATTTGAAATAGTTTAAATAACAAATTACCTACAGGTTTGACTTGGTCAACTTCGGATCCTTTATGTTTGAAAATTTGTTCATTAACAGATTCAATTTTCAAATGCACCTGTTCATAGGTTTTGGACAACTTCCACTAACGGTCAACTTTTTTGAATTTTTGTATTCATTGTGCAAACAGTCCATAACTGTTTGGTTACTTAAAAGGTTGCGCCTGTTCGGTTGTCTCATTTTTTGCCTATATATATAGATCTTATTCCAGCAGTCTTGGGACTTGAAAAAATTCGGAAAATTCAGTCTGATATTTGGTCCCTTTGCTGTCCATTTCTTTTAGTGCATTATTCCTCATATTTAGTTTTAGGAATAAATATTCAGAGAGTTAGATCACAGGTTTGGTTCGCCGAACAAATTGTTTGGAGTACTACTACAATTTGTGAAGATCATTGTATCATGGGAGATAGACGCCACTCATCCGTAAGTACCATAGCGGGGCGAATCTGTCTTAAGGACAGAGTGTCACACACTCGACTTGGTCTTAATTTTTATTCGGTTCGATAAATAAATCTGGTATGTTATTTATTTATTTTGTTTAAATTTATTTCAAGTTATTTTATTTACACAGAAGATTGTTCCAACAATTTCAAGACTACATGCAATGTTTTCGAGCATCAACTTCCCAAAAATCACAATTCTCATATTTCATGGAACTCAACAATGTGTCAATTCATAACTACATATGTATATGCATTTAACAATAAATTCAAGTATGGTCTCCAAATCCTCATACATCAAGAAGTTGTCATATTTACAAATAACAATAAAAAATTTTCACTCAGTCCTTCATTTAACCCAAGAAAATCCATAAATCCCCAACATTTTTCCAAAACCCCCAATTTCTAGTTTTTTCACAAAAACCAAACATTTCCTCATCTCTTGGAAAAACCTTCTGAAAACATCATTCTTAAGCCAATGCGATTCAACTATTCAAGAGAATCTTTAAAAAGAAACAAAAGATGAATTTATTTTACAAAGCCACTAATTTCTTGAGCCAAAAACTAATTTTTAAAATAATCAAAGAGGAACTCTCAAAATCAACCAAAAACTTGCAAAACATACATATAACTCTAAGAAATTCCATACCTCAAGTTTGGAGAAGAAAATGAGATGAAAGCCCTAAAAATCAACGGTGTTGAAACACGATCTCCACTGCACATAACGAAGCCCTCAGTTAGCTCTCCAACTTTGATGAAGGAACTCGGGTCAAAATATCAATGGATTTGGAGAGATCAAAGATTTTATGAGGTTTGATGTAGGAAATGTAAAGAGATGGAGGAGAAAAGGGTTTTTAGAGAGAGAGAGAGAGATGTGTATAATGATATACACTCAGCCTAAAAAGAAGAAAAGGTAGATTTTCGGACTGCACACAAGCTTGCACGTACAGCGCCCTGTCCCGCACATGCGGAGCGTCTCCCCGCACGTGCGGCCTTCACCCCTACACGTGCGGCGATCCCTCCTCCGCACCTCACTCTGCACCTGCGTATAATGCAGTGTGCAAGCTCAAAATTCCTCACCTCCCCGCACGTGCAGCCTCATCTTCCGCACGTGCGGCCCTGGTCTTCTAGCCCAAAATTTCCTTGGCTCAAACCCCTAGCACTCTAGATCGAACCCGCACCCTTTGAAACAAGTGAAACTCAGGAGTAAACAAGAATGAAAATTTTGAAACAAAATCCTTCAAACACAACAACCCAATGAAAACGATGAGTGAAGGGACTCACGACGTAGCCGATCATCACATTTCTTGTCAACCTTGTATATTCAAGGTGTTCTTCTTCTAATATCTAGCCTTATGCAATATTTTTCTCTGCGTACACAATACATTTGCACTTAGTTCATTCACTTTCAATTGTAACACGCAAATTTTTAAACTTTTAGTTAAATTTTCATCCATTAACATTAATGAAATTGACAAAAATTGACATATGAGTTATATTTTTCTTGTCAAACGTCTACACTTTCACCAAAAACTTTGAACATTTCACTTCTAATTGTGTCGTAATGTTACAACGGGGGAACGCCATTATCAACCTCATCATAAGTTTCAATACATTCCACAACCTCTTCATCGCTATAGAGCTCATCATCAATAGATAAGCTTTCCACCTTGTCATCAAAGTTTTTTTCATTAGAATTTTTATTCAACCCCATAGAAATTGAAGAGAAAAAAATGAACGAGTTTTTATTTTTTATTTTTTTGTTCCATTACTGGGGTAGAAAGAAAAGACAAGAAAAGGTTTCTTATTCCGCATCTATAAATATTCAAATTTTGATACCTAATACTGCATAGATAGTTTGAACTGTATGGAAACAATAATCAATTTTAACTCGAATGATTTGTAGGGGAACCATACATTCTCTGATCCATTTGACACGTAAGTTAATTATAATACTATGTCTTATTAATATCAGATGAATGGAAAGATATATAGCAATTTAATGAGGTTGAATGTCATAAAAATAAAAATAAAATAAAAAAACCCAAAAAACGTAATTTTTTTTTTCAATTCATTCCCCTACAATATAAAAATTAAATTTAAATTGCACATTAAAAAAAAATCTATATAAAAATTTTAGATGCATAACTTTATTATCACTGAAGATGTCAAGTTAAGATGGAAGAAGACTTGCTTAAAATTTTTAGTCAAAATTTGAGAAGACATTTATTAAAGCTAGTGACAAATCAAAGGCATGTGCGGTCGGTTTTTAAATATTGAAAGACTCATGTCACAAAAATTTTAATTTTTGATACTTTTAATTAAATTCTAATTTTTTTATGACTCGGTCATGCATTTCTTTTTCCACATAACTGAATTTCGTTTACAAGAATCCCTCTAAACTTTTCAACAATCCAAATTTTTCCACATATACAAATATTTGTCGTCTGTGAAACAATCATAAAACAATTTAGATCCCAAGCATTTATCTACGTCTTGGGGTATTTTGGAAAACCCCAAAAAAAAAAACTGACATGCATACAGATATACTCAAGATTTTACTTATGTATACTATAAATTATTCACTAAACATATTTTAATTAAGTGAATAGAGAACCCATTCAATTTCTAAATTGACAAACACCTAACATACAAAATTAAGTCCCAATTTTAACCCACAAATTTGACCATTTCCATTAAAAAAATCTGTCTAACAAGTAATGAAATATACCATTCAAGATTCTATTCTATACCATGTGAGAAATGAAGCATAGGTAATGAATTCCAAACCACAGGAAGCAAGAAAAATAGATCAAATTACTTCACATGGGGCATAAAGTCTTCAACCAAGTTCTCATTCTTAAAAAAAAAAAAAAAAAAAAAAAAAAAAAAAAAAAAAAAAACTATAAGCAGCTCAGATAGGCTGCACCAAATAAGTAAAAAAGAAATTTACGAAAAGCATTTTCAGGGAAAAAAAAAAAGAAGAAAATTCACCTAAAAGTCAAAAAAATATAAATAAAAACAACAACATCAACAACAACAACAATAATAAAACCAAACCTCATCAATTTGTAACCATTCAAAGCTTATAGTTCAGTTTAATAAAAGTGTAATATAAGTTCTATTTAATTTTATCGTTATGATGTGAGGATTACTAAAGACTAAAGCCTTATAGTAGACTTCTAAATTAATTTTACTGAAAAACCAAACTTATAGAAAACATAATTTTATGGTTATCCAATCAAGATTATTAAAGATTAACTTAAAGCTTATAGATAATATCACAAAAGACTCCTAAGTTTTATTAATGAAATCAAGTTAGTAATATTACTCAACGATTTATGACAATAAATAAATAAATAAATCTAATTTGTGAAGCTTCCAATTAAATCCCAATGTACTTCCACTGATTTGTGAAATGAAATCTAGATCAATACAAACAATATTCGAGGACCAAATCATCATGAGATGAAATTTCAAAGAACCAAGCATTAGTTGAAAATTATAGGACTAATACAATGACAAAAGCTTTCAATTTTTCTTTTGGTTTACAATTATTAATTTACGATTTGAATTCCTCAAGTTAATCATCTAACTTAATAGAATAATTTGGGTTTAGTGTGTCCGTTTTGAGATTGATCTTGATAATTTATGTTTTGAGAGGATTTGCACCAATGAACATCTTGCAAGAAACTTTCTTCTTCAATTCTTCCAGTACACATTTTTCCATCCCTTTCTTCAATAAAGATATGCAAAATTTTAAAAGGTTTTCACAAAAAATAATGTTATATATATATATATATATATATATATTTTATTGAAAAAATTCATACGAAATGATGTCATTTTTTAGTCCTTTGTTTCAAGCAAAAAACACTTAATGGTAGTTTATAATTGCAAAAATATCATATTATATTATTTATTAGTTTTATTTATAAAAATTATGTTTTTGAATCATTTTTGTTTTTAATAATATAGTTAAAGCTTATATAATTTATTATTTTTTGTCAGAAGAAGGCTCGATCCATTAAGAAACTGAGCTAGAATATCATTTTATGAATGTGTTATTATGGGTAACAATATTAAATCTATTAATTTTAGAAAATCAAAAAACCCTATGAAAATTAAATGGAAAATGAGGAATCACTCATGATGAGTAAGAATGATTTACTAGCACTTGAAATATATAAAACCCTCAATAGTAGATTAAATTATTAATTATTTTATATACATTAGGCTATTTCATCATTTCACAATTTTTCAAAATAAAAATAATTTTATAAACTTTTTCTTACTATTAATCTAATCCTACATTTCATCGTTAAAAACAAACAAGACATTATATATGTTAATCAAACAGGGCCTTAGTTATTTATTTTACTCTCTGATGTTAGTGGTGTGTTTATACTGATATAATTAGGGCAATCTAATAATTTGAAGTCCATAGTATTGGCTTGGGATCATCTATACCCATTTTCTATACACATCTTCTGTCGTATTTATGATTTCAAGATTGATTTCAAGACTGACGACATGGTAGCCTAAGATGAACGGGACAAAAGATGGGTACAGGAGATCCGAAGCCCATAATGCCGAAGAATCAACACGGATTTTTTTATTTAATCAAGCTTGATATTGACATAAAGCACCAAATAAGAACATATTGTGGGTCCTTTATTTTGGCACTGTTTGGAAAATGGCCAGATCATTTATAAATAAAATAAAAATATTTTTAAATCATGTTTGATTATGAATTTAAATAGTAATTTGAAAAAGAAAACAAAAATGTGAGAACGTGGATAAAAAAAATTTAGCTTGTATTTTATTTATATTTCTCTTATATTTGCTTTTTGCTTTTCAAATTTATTTACCAATTCATGATTCAAATACAATTTTATTCATAATACAATGATGATTACATTTATGTACCAAAAATTATACATCACCTCATACGTTAGCATTATATTATTACTATTAGTAATAAAAATGAGCAAGTGTTGGGACTCATTACTTCAATAATGCTATGCTGAATACTAATTACATTTATTTACTAAAAGTAATTTATCATCTTATATATTAGTAATAAAATTGACCGAGTGATGGAATCCATTAAACTAATACAATGATAATTTGTGAGACTATACAATGGCAATTTTCAGTTTATATCTTTTTAGTATTGAATTATTATTAAGTTATAAAAAGGGGAGTGCATCTAGAAGAAGCATCCTATCAAATTCCCTCTCTACCACCCAATACTCGTGTAAGAATGGGTTTCTTACTATCCAATTATCAACTCACAATATGTATCCTGTGTTCCCTAATTTTCCGCTTGTCTTCTTCTGCACATCTTTGCCATAATGACGAGAGAACTGCTTTGCTCCAATTTAAGCAATCCGTTTCCTTCAATTGCAATGCTTGCGATTGCGGGATAATTACTCCACCCACTGATAATTCTTCTCCACTCACTGATAATTGGAAAGAGGGTACAGATTGTTGTGCATGGGATGGGATCACATGTGATAACACCACTTCTCATGTCATTGGCCTCGACCTCTATTGCATGTGCCTATATGCTACCATCCATCCAAACAGCAGCCTCTTCAATCTTGTTCACCTTCAAAAGCTCGACCTTTCTCGCAACAACTTCAATCACTCTCAAATTTTACCTTCATTTGGCCGTTTCACAAATTTAACCCATCTTCACCTCAATTACTCCTATTTTTCTGGCCCAATACAATCATCAGAAGAAGAAGTCTGGCAAGGGAATAACTTCTCCAACAGCATTTTCCACTTACAGAAATTGCAGGAGCTGTCGTTAGCCGGTAACACAGAACTCACAGGTAAACTTCCAAGTTTTATTAATGGAACTCTCCGGCACCTTAGGTCGTTGGATCTCTCTTTGACAGGTTTCACCGGAGAGCTACCGAATTCCATCGGCCAACTTGAGTTCTTGGAGGAGCTATTCCTCAATGACTGCAATTTCTTTGGTACCATTCCGACATCGCTTGGAAACCTCAAGAAACTAAGAATGTTAGAGCTTGGAGGGAATAAATTGATCAATGGTACGATTCCGATATTGCTTACAAACCTCACGCAATTAATTTCGCTTGATCTTTCATACAACAAATTTGAAGGCCCAATTCCTCAACATTTTTCCAACCTCTCGCAACTTCGTCGTATAGATTTCTCAAACAATCAACTAACAGGTCCCATTCCATCATCAATAACTGGCCTTCCAAATCTACACACTCTAAATTTAGGCAGTAACTCAATCAGTGGGACAATACCTCCTTCCTTGTTTCATCTTGTGAACCTTACCATCCTTGATCTTTCGTCAAATAAGTTAAGCGACACCGTTGAGCTGGACACGTTTGCAAAGCTTGAATATTTGGAGTATCTGTGTCTTTCAAATAGTGGTCTATCATTGACCACCACCAACTCCTCTCCCTCCTCTTTCCGAAACATTGGGACATTACAATTGTCGTCTTGCAAGATGAATAAAATTCCTGAATTTCTGAAAACCCAAAACCAAATGTTGGCGGTGCTAGACCTTTCGAACAACCACCTAAATGAAGAACTAAATCCACTCTGCAATCTTCATTTTCTTCAATATCTCAAATTGTCCAATAACCAATTTGGCGGATTAATCCCTACCTGTTTGGGGAACTTCAGTGGATTAGTGGGGTTAAATTTGCAGGGTAACAATTTCAGTGGGACCATCCCTCAAACTTTTGGATACGCAAGCATATTGAAGGAACTTGACATTAGCCACAATGGATTGCAAGGGGTGCTTCCAAGATCATTGGTGAATTGCACGAACCTAGAAATTTTGAATGTGGGTCATAATTTCATAGAAGATGCTTTTCCATTTTGGTTGGAGAACCTGGACTACTTGAAGATTATTGTCTTGCGAGATAATAAATTCCATGGTCCCATAGAGCAACCAAGGAAGGGATTAGTCTTTAGCAATTTACATATCATTGACATGTCTCACAATGAATTTACAGGCACTTTGCCATCAAAATACTTTGAGAGCATGTATTCAATGATGATGGATGATGAAGACAAATCCTCCTTACATTATATGGGCAATGGTTATGTTTATTATTCAGTAACCATAATGAATAAAGGATTGGCAATGGAATTCGTAAGGATCATCACCATCTTAAAAGCTGTTGATTTCTCGCACAACAAGTTTGATGGAAATATTCCAATATCCATTGGAAGACTTAAAGCCCTCTGTGTCCTAAATTTTTCAAAAAATAGCTTCACAGGTCCGATTCCATTGTCCTTGGTGAGTCTAACTGAGCTTGAGTCCTTGGATCTATCCCAAAATAAGCTCTCTGGTGAGATACCTCAACAACTAAAAAACTTGACATTCCTGGAAGTTTTTAATGTCTCGCAAAATAATCTAACTGGGATGATACCACGAGGCAAGCAATTTGAAACATTTTCAAACACTTCATATGGGGGAAATGCAGGCTTGTGTGGTTTTCCATTGTCAAAGAAATGTAAGACTCCCAAGGTAGCAGAATCACCATCTTTACCATCCTCTTCAAGCCACAATTATAAAAGCAGACTTGATGGTTTTGGATGGGAAGCAGTGTTGATGGGATATGGATGTGGAGCAATATTTGGCTTGGTGATAGGAAGTTGCATCATTCAAAGGAAAGAAGAATGGCTTGCGAGAATTTTTAGAGTGAAAATGCATCATCAGAAGAACAAATCAAACAAGGTTAAGTACCAACATGGAACAAGATGACATGTTCAGAACTAAATGTTTGAAATAAAGGTACTACCGTGTTTTCCTTTTCATTAAAGCTGTTTGTTTATAATTTGATTGTGAACCATGATATCCCTTTTCATTTCCTACTTCTATGTTTCAAATTCGACACTCATGATTGACTGCTAGAATATGTAGTTAGTTACATGCATGTATGTAAGTACAAAGATAATAGATTACATGAAAATAAAAAAAAAAAACCCTCTTTAAGAGAAATTGAATTCACAACTCTGTAATTCCAATAGTCTAAAATAACAAATTTAGATCCACGTCGAGGAGAAGAAGACAAAATGGTAAAATAATTTATGCTGACATTAGAAATTATGAACAACATGTTTTCAATACGAATTTATATACATATTTTCAAGTCAAGTTAAATTTTCACAAATAGGTGTTCATTTTTCCTTTTTTGATTTTAGTTTTTCTTTGATTATATACATGTTTTTTTTTTTTTTTTCAAAATTTTAAATCTTTCTAGATTAGAAGCACTTGAAAATAATTATTAAAAAAAAAAAAAAAAATTCTAATACAATTTTTTTAAAGATTCACTAAAAATAAAATTTCAAAAAATGTGATTTTTTAGCATTTGCCAAACATGGATGGATTTTTTTTAATTTTTTTTTATGATTTATTGTCAGCTAAATAAGTTGTAACTAAGGTGGGTGTTGTGTAGTGTTAGGTTGTAATTGTGTCATGTTATTTCGAGTTTGTGTCAAAATTAACTCAATACTAACACATTCCACCCGTTTCTTATATCATATTATTGTGTCATGTCATTTTCAGTCTTTGTTCGATTCATGCTGTGTGAACACGTCATATCAAAAAAATTATCCTTAATTAAAAGTATCAAGTGTATGAAAAAATTTAAAAAATTTCTTTACAAATTAAATTTAATGAAAATAATCTCTACTTGATGAAAAAAAAATAAAAATAAAATATCTATAGATGAAATATTTAATTTTAACTCAATTCTATTTCCCTAATTTACAAAATTAAATCTATTTTATATTTGTTTTACTTGATCACTTCTAAAATAGTTGACAAAAAATACATTATCTTTATTATTATTATTATTATTATTTTACAATATTAGCCTCAGAATTTTAATTTAGGTCGGATGGAGTTGCATAAGGATTCAATAAGATCATGATAATCCTTAGGGCCTCTTGAAGGGTTACTTGAGCTAAAAGCCAATAAAAATAAAATTGGTTAAAATAATTAATAAGACAAAATGTCATATTTAACTTATAATTATTTTACTTTTTCTTTCACAACTGTCAAATTAACTACAAAAAAAAAACCAACTATTTTTTCAAACACAACTTTTTTAGCCATGATAAAATAGAAAAAAAAAAAAAAAAAAAAAAAAAAAAAGGTCAAAAAGTCAACTAAAATAGCTCACTTCCTAAATGAGACCTAGTAGAAATAACATTACAATAAAATGAATTTGTACCATGCACAAAAATTTTCATTGCAAATGACACATGCATTTTTGTATTTTTTTTTTTTTTAAAAAATTGAATAAATTGTCCATGTTATGCATAATATTTTTCATAATAAGAGCTTTTTTCTATAAAAATAAAAATAAACATGAGTTATTTTTAGTATAAAGAATTCAAAAATATCATGATGTGATATATCCATGTACAGTGGCGGAGCCAAGAAAATAAATCACAGAGGGCACTTCTTAATTACAATATTGAAAATATTTACAAAAATATTTCACATAAATTTTTACGATTGACTTCGAGAAAGATTAAAAAAAATAATAATAATCAGTGTGTTTGGTTTGAATTTTTTGAATTAAGTTTTTTAAAAATTAAGTTTTTTATTTTTTATTTTATTTTATTTGTTTTTAGTGAATATTTTTAAAATTTTAAACATTTATTTTTTTATTTTTTTAGATGCATGATGTATCTAAAAAAAATAAAATATTTGTGAAAAAATTAATAAATACATAAAAATACGAAAAATGTACAGATTTTTTGTTTTTTTTTTAATATTTTTGGTATTTACTAAATTTTTTAAAGATTTTTTTCGCAAAAATTATACTTTTTAAATATATTTATGTTAGGTGTGTCTAAAAATTAAAAAAAATTGCTTAAAATATTAAAAAAATTTAATAAAAACAAAAAAATACAAAAAACAAAAACATTGAATTTTTTGAAAAGTGTTTTTAGAAAACTCAAACCAAACAAAGTGAATATGTTATTTGTAATTAGTGTATCATGGACAATATTAAAAAAGCCATGGATATAAAATTTTAAAATAAATTATATAATGATAAAGTAATTTTTTATACAAAATATGCATAAAAATTCAATATAATAGTCATACCACGCAATCATTGACATGTGATATTACCAACCAATAATAAAGAAACACATGGAGGATGAACCTTGCATATTAAATGTAACTAACAATTCAATAAATTTTATATTTTCATTGAGATTAATTATATATGCATATATTGTGATAGAGATCACCATTATATTGAAATTTTCATAGATAATAATATCGTAGTCTCTTTATTTTCAATCAAAATAATCCTTATTGTTCTTATAATTTTAAAAATATTATTGACATTTCACTCTAAATAATATTTTTTATATAAAATATTTTCTTTATGTTTGTAAAAAAAAAAAAAATTCAAAACTTAGGGGGGGCACGTGACCCCCCTGGGCCCTCCTTCCCTCCACCCATGTCCATGTGTATACAAATATTACCATATTGATAATAAATTATTAAATATAAATGTGTTTTCAAATTAATAATTATTGAAGTCTGGACAGTTTCTTAAGTGCTTAGACGACACTTAGGTGCTATGCTAAGTAAGATTTTAGGTTCGAATCTATGAAGAAATGCTTACTTATATTGTAATCTAACTGCTAACATATTAACCGTTATCTTAAAAAAAAAAAAACAATTAATAACAACTCAAAAATAAATTTATTTTTCAAATTGTAGAGATATGAAAATTATTACATATGAATCAAATAATCAATTATTAATTACATTTGAAATGCAATAAACCAATGATTGAATGGCATGTGTATTTATGAGTTATAACTAATAATCAATTATTAGTTACAAATTTTGTAGTTCTTAGTTATAATCATTATGGTGTTGGTTATGATTTAGTTATGTCCTATTATTGTTATTTTAGTTATGTTTGAAGAGATGTTTAGTAATGCCTGAAACAATGTTTGGTTATGACTCATTTTAATATTGATTATGACTTATTGTGATGTTAGTTGTGACTTATTACGATTATTATTTTAATTATGAACAAAACCATTTCTTATTATACCTTAATGCTGTATTTGGTTGGGGGATTTGGGAAAGGATTTGAAAAGAAAAAGGAAAAAGGTATGTGAAATTAGGTGAAATGTAAGTATATTTTATTCACATATCACCTATTTTTTTTATTTTTCTTTCTAAATCTTTCCTTAAATCTTCTAACAAAATACAACGTAAGTGATATTTAATTATAATAATTTTTTTAGTTTAGGCATTTGTTATACTAGCATCACAATTATGATAAGGCCAAGTTTGGCAAATTGTCAAAAAGTTACTTAAAAAGTTAAAAAGTTAAAAAGTTATCACTATTCACCAAAAGTCAAAAATTACAGCTGCACAACTCCCAAACCTAATTTTTCCCTACATACTAATACACACTAATTTATACAATTTTTTAATATACATTTTTCCATAAAAAGTCAAAAAGTTAACCCAAACAATCATATTTTTTTCCTCAACTTTTTAATCTAAAAAATTAAAAAATACACTTATTTGGGACATCCCAAATAACCTCACACCCCAAATAGTGATGTGTATGGTAGTGGAACTCATACGAAGCCCATCTTAAGAGTTCTCTTCCAGGCCCAAAATTTCAGGACCGACCATGTAGCGTTGCACCCAATCTTGTTACCCAAAGCCAATACTTAGAAAGCCCATACGATTTCTCATGTTAAAAGAAAAATAGAAAAATAATTAATAAATCTTATTTTTCTTACAGTAAAATCATTAAGACCTATTAATTTTGTATTAAGATAATTCATTCATATTTTAAATAAATTATTTTGAAATAGTTCAACATTACAGTAATACTACAATTTTTCCCACTTTTACCTTTTTCCATGGATATTAATTACATTTGTAAACATAATTTAATGGTCAAGTTCAGTAAAAAAAATCATAAATAGGGTCTCAAAAACTATAATTAAGATCATTCACTCCATTTGGTTCTGAATTTTTAAAAATAATATTTGGAGTTTTTAATTTTTTTTTTTAGTGAAATTTTTTTAATATTTTAGTCAATTTTATATTTTATTTTAGATGTGTCTAATAGATGTAATTAAAAAGTAAAATATTTATAAAAAATCATAAAAATTTCAAAATATACAAAAAAATATAAAAATATACTTAATTTTTGTATTCTTTTATATTTTTTAGTATATAGTGATTTTTTTTTAAATCGCAAATTTTTTATTTTTGAAGTGTATCTTAATTAAATTGATATAATTTTTTTTAAATGACTAAAATATTACTAAAATTTACAAAAAATAAAATAAAAATACTATAACGGGTTGAATCAAATTGAATTTTTGCCCTTATTATTATTATAGTTGTGATATCGTGGACCATTTTATTTAAACTGATGAAAAAAAAAATTATATTACTTGTTAATTTCTACTTCGCAAGGCCTATTTGTAGCGATCCCAGTTTTGCCACTTCGCTAAGTATGTCGGGGGGATCGAGCTGCCCGGTCAGCTCACGGGGGTCCAGGGGGCAGCGCCCCTTGGCGGGTCCCAGGACAGCGCCCTTATGGGATTGAGGGGCAGCGCCCCCGAAGCAAAAATTCAAAATGCATTAGAAGTTACTTGTCCACTCGAGCGGCCATTTATGCGCTCGAGCGGAGAATGTTTGGTTCTAGAAGTTTGACCTGTCTCCAAAAGTACTGGGAAAGTGTATTTGACGCTCGAGCGGGGCTTTCCACGCTCGAGCAGACCATGTTATATCTGTTCGTGAATCTGATTTTTCAGATCACTTTTGTATATCTCTCTTTAAAAACCCTTTTCTCTCCCTTCTCTCTACATTTTTCTATGCCAAATTGGATCAAAACCTTGATTTTTTAAGATCCATTAGAGTTCTGTCATAGGTTCTTCATCAAATTTGGTTAATTTCTCGAGGGTTTCGTTGTGTGCGGTGAAGATTGAGTTTCGACACCGTTGATTTTGGGGGTTTCATCTCATTTCTTCTTTAAAACTTGAGGTACGGATTTTCTTAGAGTTATATATATATTTTTGCAAGATCTATATGATTTTCGAAATCATCTTTCGATAGCTTTGAAAATTGATTGTTGATTCAAGAAGTTAAGCGATTTTGAAAGTGGGTTTGTCTCTTGTTCTTTTAAAATGATCTTATGGGTTTTGATTTTTGTTGATTAAAGAGAAGATGATTTTGGAAAGTTTTCTTTCAAAAGATTTGAGTTGTATAGTTTTGATGAGAAAACCTAGAATTTGGGGATTTTTTTTAGGAGACTGAAAATCCATGAATGATATTGTTATATTTATTTTGTGTGTCAAAATAAATGGATGTTTGGAAAAAATTTTATTTATATTTATATAAATGATGAATTTAAGGGAATATGAGAATTATTGTTCATTTTGGAAATTGTTGTTCAAAACGTTGAAATAGTCTTGAAATAACTAATTATTGAGGATACTTGAGAAGAGAGAATTGTGTTATTCCTTGGATGATAAATTGGAATAAAAGTATTTATATTCATCTTGTGAAATTGGCATATCAATTCATTTGATTACATTAAACTTTGAAAGTTGATTTGAAAACTTGCATTAAGAAAAGAATGTTGAGAAACAAGTTTTCATAGAATGGTTTTTGGGTAAATAGGTTGGTAAGTCTTGATAAGTAGTGTAAATGATATTGAACAAGTTGGCCTGAGAGTCCAAGGTGAAAGACCGAAAACCCGTGCAGATAGGTGTCGAGCTTTCCGGTTAATACCGGTAAAAATGACAATTTGGTAGTACTTGTATAGTCTACTTGCAAACACCGACCTAAGGATTACCAGAGTCATATTTACCGCCCTTGAAATAAATTGTTAAGTTTTGAACAATTGAAATTGCATGATATCATTGAGTATGATGGTATTCAAAAGATGAAAATGTGATTTATCTTCAAAAAAGGCATAGCATGGCATGTGCATTTCATCTCTTGAGATTTGTATAAAATGTATATACTTTGTTAAGAATTTCCTACTGGGCTTTATGCTTACCTTACGAGATTTTTGTACAGGAAAAGATGTGGTGCTCCCACCCAACTAGGGGCATAGAAGTATGTGTGTTGGGAGTACAATACTCTCATTTTGCTGTGACTCTGTGTGTAAGCCAAAGGGTTGTGTTTGTGTGGACTTGAATAACCGTTTTGTATAACCAGGGTCAAGCCTTGGAAACTTGTAAACCCTTTGGGGTATTTATTTTTTTATTTACTTGTTGTTGGATTAAAGTATTGTTGCATGAAGAACTATTGTATCATGTAATGTAAGTTTAGAGATTTATATTCGGTTTTTCTTGAAAGAGCCATGATTGTTGTATTATCATTTGGGCTAGAAATTTGGGGCTTTACACACGGCCGAATTTTTTTTTTTTTTTTTTTTTGAGTTTTAATTATTCTTGGGTCTTGGGTATTAAATAAGATATAAATTTAATTTTTGGGACTTATTTGATTAACTCATACTTAATCATTTTTGTTCATATTTAATTATGTGTATGGTGGGGGTCACCTTGAGTCTAATTAGATTATTTTATACATTAATCTCAGTTGGAGATTTATTCTAGATTATTAAATTTGATTTATTTTGGATCTAATTGATTGAATCATGACTCGTTTGTAACCACCTATTACTATTGTTATTATTATTACCATTATTATTTATTTTACTGCCATGAGAGAGTTACAAATATTTATGGTATGCACCATCAAACGAAATATATTTTATGGTTAGAAAAGATTATATCATTTCTATCATTTATGTTACTAAATATTATAATGATATTGAAACGCACTTTTAATTGATATATATATATATATATATAGATGTATATGTATATGTATAAATAGATATTTGAAATAAAATAAAAATAAAAATATGCTTATAAGAGAGGCAGCACGTGGGCCGCCACCCCTCATTCCCCCCTCTTTTTTTTTTTTCTTCCTTTACTTTGATTTCCTTTCTCTCTGTTTTGGAGAAGCAGAGAGCTTCGTCCTCTCTCTCTCTCTCTCTCTCTCTCTCTCTCTCTCTCTCTCTCTCTCTCTTTCTTGCTCTCTCAAATTTTTTTTAGGTTTATCACACGACCTTTTTGAACCACCAAAATCTATTAGGTTTTAGATTCTAGTTCTTGAGACCAAAGTGAAGAGCTTGGCAAGAGCAATGTTTTGATTGGTGGAGATTGAAATCTAACAACGCCAAAATTTGGGATTTCTGCTTCTTCTTCCTTCTAGCTATTGAGGTAGGGATTTTCTAAACATTGTGTATGTGTTTTAGCTTTATTATGTGTTATTTTGATAGTGTGATATTTGAAAATATTAGGGTTTTATTAATGATATATTAAATGTATAAAAAGGGGGAGTTCTCAATATTTTTTTTTGAAAATATCTTGTTAGTTGAATGTGATTTTTATATGACTCATGGATGTTAAGGAATGTATTTTTTTTTTTTTAATTTTATATGAGAAATCCCCAAATTTTATTAAAACCCTAGAAATTTAAAATGTTAAAATTTAGATTTTTGGGATAAGTTTGTGAAAGGCTTGTAAGAGTTAAAAACATGTGTACATTTGAACAAATGAGAATTTGAAAGTGGATGTTTAACGGGATGAGATTGATGATAATGTTGTTAGGAATATTGAAAACCATTGAGGTTTCTTTTAAAAATTGTTTAATTTGGAAATATTGAACTTTGAGAAAGATGAAAATATTTATTATGTTGAGGTATTGAGAAAAGTCGAAAGAAACGTATGTTGTTTTTGGCATCATGAAAATTTTTGGTGAATTCTTGAGTTTGAATAAAAAGGGAAAATTGATGACATTTTTGAAAGAATATTATGATTTTGATTGAGTTGGGAAAGAGGAGATTGAACATATGATTGTTACTCCTACGTTGAAATTATTGAAAATATGAGATTAAAAGTTATATTTGTTTCTTAAAATTTATATTTTGTATAAAGATAATTGTTTTGGCAACCGGTGAAGGGTTGTATTGATTGTTGTAGAAATTGCATATAAATTAGATAAATTGAAATATTTACAAATTCGTGTATGGCATTGGACATTGCATAATCTTATGATTTAATCCTCGCTTTGGATTTGAGAAATTGATTTCAAATTGATTCATTGAGAATATTTGAAATGTGTTGGCTTATGGGGTAAAAACGTTTGGTAAGTCCGGATAGGGGGTGTAGATTGGTATTGTTTAAGTTGGTCTGAGTGTCCAAGGTGAAAGACTAAAAACACGCGCAGAGTAGGTACCACGTGTTTTCCGGTTAGGAGCCGGTGAAGTGGAGATTGATAGTGTTAGTTATGCTTACTTGCAGACACCAGCTTAGTGATTACCAGTATTGTATTTACCGCCCCTTGTTCTATCAAATGGATGATTAAATTGATTATATTTTTGAACAAGTGCATGGCATGTGAATTTCAAAATGAGAAAACCTATATTTTTGACATTGGCATCTCATATGTATTGCATCTCATGATATTGTTAAACTGCATGCACTTTATTTAGATTATCTTTGCTGGGTTTTATGCTCGTCCTTTAGTGGAAATCATTTTCAGGTGATTGCAATGTGCCTCTGCTGAAGTGAAGGCAAGGAGGAACTTTTGGAGCACGACGCTTGGTTTTATTTGTTTTCTTTTTGTAAGCCAAGGGCTATTTGTGTTTGGGTGTGGACACCACTTTTGTGTAACCGGGCAAGGCCTTGGAAGCTGTAGCCAATAGGGCATTGTTTGGTACTTAGCTTACTTTAAATTTCTATCATCACATGCCATAGATTCATATGTTAGAAATAGTGAATGTATGAATGCATGTGATTTGTTTTGTGAATCTTACTAGAAAGTCATGAATAGAAAAGAAGGGGGTTTTTGGTCCTTACATTAATAAATGTAATTCTTTTTATTCTCTCTCATGTTAATGATGGAATAATTGAGAATTAGATCATGTTATGAGTTAAATTGGGTTTATCGGATGTATGTATTTTTGGGACGTTACAAATACAGATGAAAAAATCAATTTTTTTTTTAAATAAATAAAATGATTAACATATTGACTTTTAGATCAATACCTAATACAACAAAAAATTAATAGTTACTTGAAAAAAATAATTCAACTGAAGTTGCATAGAGTTTGGTAATATTCTATAACAATATTTGGCTTTAGCAATCACCTCATTAAGGGAAAATTGGAAGAAAAAAAAAAAGAAAAAAAGTACAAAAAAACCTAACACGACCAACAAGAGAAATATTTTTATAAATATTGACTCTCTTAACTGTCGTGAGTATAAGAGGAATATACGATAAATAAGACTTTGTCGCAGTGTCTGATGCACAATACGACTGAATTGTTCAATAGAAAATTGATAAAGGTTGAATAATTTTTTTTTATAAGACTAATTTGTTATTTTTCCAAAAAAACAATTGACGGACGGAAATAAAACCATAATCTAGAGTTTGTTTTTTGTTTTGTTTTATTAAAACAAAAAAAGGTTTTGTTTGGTATTATTTTCTTCTTTTATGTTTTCATTTCTAGTTTTTACTTTTAAAATATTTCAAAAAAAAAAATTATGAAAATTAAAGGGAAAATAACAATTAAGTGGTAAATTTAAAAAATAATTTCAGATATATGATAAAGTTTATATACTTGCTTTTTAATGTTAGAAAGTTTATCATTAATATGTAAATATCATTTTAAAATTATACTGAAATGAAATTCTTCCAAAATTAAACTCACTGTTTTCACATTGTTTCAAGTGAATTACATTATATACCCACCCCAACACATTACATCAATTCATTTTGACTTCTCATTTTTCAGTTGTAACAATTTATTCTAAAAAATGTATAGTTTAAAAAAGACGGGGATGCTTTTTGACATGGTGAATTGTGTACTGAGCAACATATCAATTTTTAAAATCATTTGATGTGTTTAATAAGAGAGTTGTGTGTTGAAAGATTTCGACGTGTGCAAATAGAGAAACTCCCAAAATGAGGCCATTCATAATAAGCAAGACTAATATAAAAATAAGATGATTTTCTCAAAATAAGATAATATAATAAAGTTTTTCTTGGCCTCATTTAGAGTAACTTACACCGTTGGTCCCTTTAGTTTGAGTAATATTTTACTTTGGTTCTAGTAGTTTTAATTTAAATAATTTGATCTCTAAAACACTAATTTTATTGTAATGTTGTCCTTTTATTATTTACCGTTAAAATTTTGAATCGAAAAAATTCATGCAAAATTAGAGGAATCAAAGTAGTTTCTTTGTAATTTTACATTGATCTTTCTAGTTTTGCATGTGATTTTTTTCATTTAAATTGTTAACGTTGCATAACAAATACACCACATTACGACAAACAGAAATTGTAAGATATAAATTGTGTAAATTAAAAATATAGGAATTAAAATGAAACTTTACTCAAATTATAAATACTAATAATATAATTTATTCTTTTATTTATTATTAAAATTGACTCTAACATACCACACAACATAATCAACTTATCACATGATCTCATGATGCTTATCACACAATGTGACCTCCCGCTCACCACTAGAACAATGATTTTACTTATCGTTAGGGGTAAGCAAAGAATAGTAAATTCATCGGTCTAGTTTTTTAATACAAGGTTCAATATTGAATCATAAAGTAAGTGAACTACATTCTTTGATTTTATTAACGTTGTATTTAGTTGGGAGATTTGAAAAGAGATTTAAAAAAGAAAAGGAAAAATGTAGATAAAATGTGAATAAAATATAATTACATTTTACTTAGTTTCACACACCTTTTTCCTTTTCTTTTCCTTTTTCAAATATCTCCCCAAATCTCATAACCAAACACAACGTAGGGGTGTTCAAATCATCTAATCAACCAAAGAACTAAATAATCGAACCAAATTGACCACTTTGGGCTGAGTTGGGTTGGTTTTTAGGGATATTGGTTTGATTTTGTTTTTTCAAATCATAAAATCTATAAGATTGGATTTGTTTTTTTGTTTAGGCCTTGCCTAAACCAAACTAGCCCAACAATCAAACCTATATAATTATTTTTAAATTTTATTTTTATTGATATGCCTTCATTTAATTGGTCTATTGCAATAGACTTGATTACCTAAGAATTTTCTACATACAAATTGTTTTTTTTGTACATACAATTTTTTTTGTAGGTGAAAGAAGGAAATACTAGAAGCTTGAATTGGATTTCGCAGTTGATTAATTTGTATTGATTGTATTAATGGATATGGCTTTAATTTGTGTAGTTATGTTTAAGTTTGAGTTGAATTTAATTTGTATTATCTTGCATTAAATAATATTTTGCTCTTCATGTGTGTTATGTTTAAATGTTAAAGATATTAGGGAAAATAGATGATTTTCCACCAGTAAATCAATCTAAAGAAAATAAAACTAATGCAGAAAAATTCAATCAATAATGACACAAGAATTTTACGTGGTTCCTTTAGTGTGAGGTATGTCCACGGGACCAAAATCTGATTCCACTATCAACCAAGAGTTTTCAAACGATTACAAATGAGACACAAATGGTCTCACAAACCACTCTTAGGTGAATTCCAAATAATCACAAGTAAATAAAAGAAAGATCTCACCAAAATAGATGAACAAATTGCAAAAAGCAAAAATGTTGTCGAAGTTGTTTGTTCGCTCAAGTGAAGGAATGTGCGCTCGAGCGAAGAATTCTTGGTCTTAAAGTTTTCACTGACTGTAAAAATACTGAAAAGATGCATTTGTCACTCGAGCGACACTTTGGTGGCTTGAGTGAAGACACTTAGAAAAACACGGGTTTTAGTCTCCTGGCTCGAGTGAGAATTTCTTCGCTCGAGTGACCATTGCGGCCCTACTTTCTATAAATATGTGGTTCTATCAGAATTTAGGGTTACAACTGCCAGATCTTCTTCTTAGGTATTAGGGTTTTCGTCTAGAGCTTCTTTGCTTGTTTCCTTTGATATCGAGTTTATATCATGAATTGAATGGATTATATCAAAGGATTTGTTTGTTTTCTTTTATTCACAAAAGAGATAGTTGTTCTTTTGTAGATTCTGAGAAATTTGGGCTTGAAGCTTTAGTGGATTCCGGAGTGGCTCATCGTCGTGATTCGACATCGACGTTGTGGATTCAACGTTGGGCAAAAAAATTCTGAGGTGAAAACGGGGCTGAAAGAGGCACATAGGGGTCGATTCGATTCAGGCGTGGATTCGCTAGGTAATTAAGAGTACACTTGTGTAATTCCATTATGTATTCTTAGTGGATTGTTTTGTGGCTTTTGCCTTGGTTTTTTTTTTTTTTATCACAATTAGAGGCGCTCTAATTGTGGTTTTCTCCACGTAAAATTATTGTGTCGATTTGTCTTTGATTGTTTGATTGGGATTGCTATTTACTGGTTAAAATTGATACAAAATCACAAATCAATATCTCATGGATTTTTAGATTTTTCAAAACCAAATTAAAATTCTTTTAATAAATCAATTGGGTCCCATACTCCCCTAAGGAGGTATACCCAATAATTCTCCCCCTACCGACTTAGGTGGAGACATTAACCATACCTTTCAAAGTTCGACACTTCAAATGTTTGTCCCTCGACAAAGTATTGATCAACATATCCGAAATATTATCATTCATGTGAACCTTTTCGAGTTGTAACAATTTCAAATCTAACACATCACAAATCCAATGATATCTCACATCAATGTGTTTCGATCTCGAATGAAAAGTGAAATTTTTACTCAAATGAATAGTACTTTGACTATCACAACAAAGCACATACCTTTCTTACTTCAAACCCAACTCTTGTAAAAATTTCTTCAGCTATAACTCTTCATTGCAAGCTTTCGTAATGGCGATAAATTCAACTTCGGTAGTTGAGAGAGCAACAAATTTTTGCAACTTCAATTGCCATGCCATAACCCTCCCGGCAAAAGTCATCAAATACCCCGAAGTAGATTTCCTAGAATTAACATCACTGGTTATGTTGGAATTCGTGAACCCATTAAGCATCGGCTTACCATTCCCAAAACAGAATCACACATTCAAAATCCCTCTAAAATACCTTAGAATCCATTTCATCACTGCTCAATGTTCTTTACCCAGATTAGAGAGAAAATGACTTACCACACCAACAACATGAGCAATATTCAGCCTTATACAAATCATGACATACATCAAAGAACCAACCGTTGAAGCATAGGGAATTTTCAGCATCTCTTTGTTGTCTTTCCCACTTGTAGGACATTGATACGAACTAAGTTTGAAGTGACCCGCAAGTGGACAACCAACCAGTTTTGATTTATTCATATTGAACCTCTCAAGAACCTTCTCAATGTAGCTTTCTTGAAACAACCAAATCAGTCTCTTCTTTCGATCACGAACAATCTTCATACCAAGAATTTGTTTTGCCAGCCCAAATCTTTCATAGAAAATGAGTTGCTCAACTCCAATTTCAACTTGTTAATCAGGGAAGAATTTTGACCCACAATTAACATGTCATCAACATAAAGTGAAAGAATAATAAATTTGCCATCTGAAAAAAAAAAAAAAAAAAATTCACAAACACACAATGGTCCGAAGAGGTTTTAGAAAAACCATTATTTATCATGAAAGAGTCAAATTTTTTGTACCATTGTCGCAGCGCTTGCTTGAGGCCATACATACTTTTCTTCAATTTGCAAACAAATTTCTCTTTTCCCTTTTTTCACAAAACCCTCCGGTTGCTCCATGTAAATTTCTTCTTCAAGATCACCATGAAAAAATGCGGTCTTCACATCAAGTTGCTCAATTTCAAGATTCATACTTGCGGCCATGCCAAATACAACTCGAATAAAAGACATCTTCACAACCGGTGAGAATTTCATCAAAGTCAACACCTTTTTTTTGCCCAAAACCTTTCACAATAA